GCGGTTACACCGCCATTACATCTCTCTCGCGGTTACACCGCCATTTCATCTATCTCGCGGTTACACCGTCATTACATCTCAAAAAATTTCAAAAAAAGTTTCTATCTCTTTAACCGGATTTGAAGTCCAGTCAACCTTGTCCGGATAACAAGTCCGGTCAACCTTGTCCGGATAATACATTTATTTCTAACATATCTGTCCGGATAACAAATCTGGACAATATACCCTCCAATGCTTAACCGATTTAACACTTAGAAACATTTTAATATCTATCTGGATAAGAGTCCTGACAAAACATTACCCAACCTTTGTCCGGTTTAAAACAATCCGGTCAATACACCGCACAACACTTGACCGGTTTAGACTAATATCCGGTCACCTCTTGAGCGGTTTAGAAGTAAACCGGTCACCTCTTACACGGTTTAAGATAAACCCGATTGATACTTGAATGATTTATTTGTCCGGATAACAATCCGGGCATCACTTAAACGGTTTGCATAAATTGATACAGAATTCATAATAACCAGTTCCAAATACTATCAAATTATATATAAACACTTTATACTCAAAGCTTTAATACACTCACCTTTTAGAAATCGAGTATCTAAGCTTTTGAATCCTCTTCTTTAGTAATCCTTCTGATTCTTCAGAGAAAAACCTTCTAAATATAGTATGTGTGTATCCTTTACTTCCCAAAATTCTATATATATCTAAGAAATAGGAGGGGAGGTGGTGGGCGGCTCAACCAGCCGACCTCCCTTTTTTTCTTAATTTAAAATAAAATTTAAATTAACCCTTATAAATATAACACACATACATACATACCCAGACACATATAAACATATATATATATATATATATAAACTTGAAATAACAACAAAAATATTACATCTGGGATCAGGAACATTGTGTCCACCCCTTGCCCTTCCTCTTCTATGAGCAGACATTGAACTTTCTTGAGCCGACAGTTCCTGTTCTTGTCAAGTACTTCTACCTCTTCCTCGGCCCCTGCTACGACTTCGCGTTTCTATTGTCATCACATTTTCCGGGTCCTCTCCTTGTGTTACAATTCTTCTTCCCCGACCTCTTCCATAACCAGTAGAGGTCCTTTCTGATTGATTGGGATTATCTGTCATTTCTCAGTATATGACTTTTTCTATCACATTTAAACGCACATGATTATTTTCATAATCAAAACATAATAACACATTTATCCTCAAGTCTATCCATAAGGGTGGAACTCCCCACGCAATTTTATAACGCAAGTAAAAGCAAGCAATGAAAGTACAGATCAGCAAGAAAAACTACGGCAACTTTGACTSACAAACCAAGCCATAAGAAGCCAAAATAAACAAAGGGAAATGCACCAAAAAAGAAATGTAAAACAAGCCAAAAAATAGATAGAGCAAATCACCAAAAACTCCCAGAAACAAAACTCTTCACCAACCTCATGATCACGTATCATTGATTCTCGTAAGCTTCTTCCTTGTCTTCCACGCCATTCTTTCAAGAATCTGTGTCTTGATATCAGCCACTACTTGAGCTCCAGTACGGTTATGATTGTCAAAAAACTTTCTATTCCTTTCCATCCATTTGTGGTACACTGTAGCCGAGATACCAAGTTTTTGAACCGTAGACCACAATTTCCACCCTTGCAATATCCCCATATTAACGATATCCTCCCAATTGTCCGGACACATCTGGATCCCTATTTCCCTCTTTATTACCTCCCAAATACTACTCGAATAGTCGCATTCAAATAATAAGTGATTGTGCGTTTCAATCACCAAGTTGCAAAAAACACATTTCAGATAAGGGGGTTCATGCTTCCACTGGCAAATGCGGTCTTGGGTCGGTAATCTTTTCTGACAAGCCATCCACATGCAGAGAGCATGTTTAGGTATGTATGCGTTATTCCAAACCACCTTATGCCAATGCACAATCGGTCCCACTTCTTGCAAAGTTTGCCATGCCACCTTCACCGTAATAAGCTGCCTATTATTATTAGGCTCAAGCCACCTAATCGTATCCTCTAAAGGACTAGGGGAAGGGATCACAATTTGTTGCAACTGGGGAAACCATTGTATCCATTCATCCGGCCACACATTACCAAACCGTTGTATGAGGTCAGAAACCGTAGAGTTATTATGAAACTCATGGCCATTTATGAACCTATACGAAAGCAAATGGATTAGGGGACCCTGTTCACTCCAAGTGTCTTCCCAAGCATGCGTAGACATCCCCATTGCCCACATTCGAAATGAAAAATCTCCTACAATGAGGTTTTAACTCTAAAATGTTCCGTATAAGCCAAGACCATTCATTTCTTTTCTTTATCACCCAAAAATTTCTCCCCCGAATACAGTTTGAATGAATCCAAGAAACCCACATTGATCTTCTTCGAGTAAGAATATCCCAAATACGTTTAAACAGCAAGCACCTATTCCAAAGCGCCAGCCTTTTCATACCAAGTCCCCCATTTTTTACAGGCAAGCAAACCTTTTCCCAAGAAACTCGACATTTTCCCAACACCCCTTTCGCTTTAATCCATAAGAAATTACGGCAAACTTGTTCAATTTCATGGATTGTAGCCGCCGGGATTAGAAAAACTGACATCCAATAAGTTTGCATAGATTGAAGAACAGAGATGATGAGTTGTCTTCTACCACCATAGGATAGAAATTTGTTTTTCCAATCTGACCACAAGAGGGTTGAAATCCCGTACCTTTAATCTGACCGCAGAGAGAGGAACACCCAGGTACCGAATAGGGAACACCCCCGGGCAATATGGAAGGCAATTTCGAATGGCATGTTGAACATCCAACGCAACATTTCCAAAAAATATCTCACTTTTTTCGAGACCCAGAGACAGACCCGATCTAACTTCAAATGTTTGGAGAGCCCGTTTTATCACTTCTACCGAAATGGCATCCCCTCGAGAGAAAATATAAAAATATCATCTGCAAAACATAAATGAGTCAACTTGAGGTCTTCACATCCTTGGTGGTAAGAAAAATTCACCTCCTCATCAATACACTGTTTAGGATCATCGATAATCCTTCCTTTACCACCGTAAACAAATAAGGAGATATTGGATCTCCTTGTCGAAGCCCTCGTTTTCCATGAAAGAAACCCTCCGACTGACCATTAACACAAATAGAGAATGTTGGCGTTGAGATTAGCGATTTTATCCAATTGATCATAACTCGATGAAAACCCATTCCCTTCAACATCCCAAGAAGATACTTCCAGTCAACAGTATCATAAGCTTTTCTGATATCAATTTTGAACGCACATTTTGGTTCCCCCTGTGGTTTCTGATAACCTGCCACAAGCTCATGTGCCATTAAAATGTTATCAGTAATCTGTCTCCCAGGAATGAAAGCCGATTAAGCCTTACTGATAAGGACATCCAAAGAGCCTTTCATCATGTCAGCAATGATTTTACTAATACATTTAAGCAACACATTGCAACAAGATATGGGCCGAAAATCAGATACACAGGAAGCATTAGGAATTTTCGGAATAAGGCAAAGCAACGTGTGATTCAACTGATACTCCAAGGTGCCCGAGTAGAAGAAATTATGAACCGCAATAAGAATCTCTCGTCCCACCACACACCAAGCAGATTTAAATAATTTCAAAGAAAACCCATCAGATCCCGGGGCCTTATCATTTTCAATATCAAATAGAGCAGACTTTATTTCCATATCAGTAATGGGTCTGATTAAGTGCAGAGACTCCGATAAAATCAAAAAACGATCAAAAGAATAATCCTCCATAGAAGGGTTTACCAACGCATCACAAGAACCCAAAATACCTGCAAAATGAGTAACAAAAGCTTTTGGTACTTCATCATGTTCAAATACCATACCAGTAGAGTCCTTAATAGCAGCAATGTGGTTCCTATTACGCTTCTCTTTCATGGAGTGAAAAAAGAACTTTGAGTTTCCATCCCCTCATTCAACCAAATAATCTTCGCCTTTTGTCTAACCATTTCCAACTGATCAGTCCTAGCTTGTTGATAAGCTAACAATAGGTGAGCAACATCCTCTTTCAGCAAATCATTAAATGGATCTAAGTCACAAGCCAATTGAGCCACATCAAGTTCCGACTTTAACAAAGCCACCTTCTTATCCAAGTAGCCATACAAATTTCTTAGTCTACGGCAAACCCCTTTCATAACTTGCATTTTAAGGAGAACTTTCTTCATATAGGAGACTTTCTTCGGTTTCACCCACACTCCCACAACCGAACTGAGGAAATCTTCATGGGAAGTCAAGAAATTATCAAACTTAAAACCACGATTTCTAAGTCTTCTCCCAACTTTGATTGTTAGAATACCCGGCGAATGGTCAGAAATCCCTCTTGGTTCAAAGAAGACCGAGGCATCCTCAAAGATGTCAATAAACGCCAAATTCCCCAAAATCCGATCTAATTTGCGAAGAATACCTCTTTCCCCTGACGGCTTTTGAATCCAAGTGTATTGGCACCCTTGATAAGAGATATCAAAAAGCTCTACAGCTTCTAGACAATGATGAAACTCTTCCATATCCGAATTACGCCTAGACGACCCTCCCAACTCATCATGGGGGAAAAGCATCGAAATAAAATCCCCCATTGCTATCCACGCTTTATTATGGATAAAATTTTGAATTTCCCAAGGGCCCTCCAAAGATCCCTCCTTTCCACCCCCGTATTACACCCATAAATAAACGTAAAAAAGATAGGTTCCGGCCTACCAACGATACGGATTTCACAATGCACATATTGCAAATGTTGCTCAATCACAATCAAGGACAAAACTGTCGGGTCCCAAGCTATAATAAGGCGTGTTCCTTGATTACAAGAGAGACCATTGGAAACCCAACTCTAGCTTCCAAAAACACGACCACACACATCCCCCAGATTACTTTGTAAGACTTTAGACTCAATAATGCAACATAACAAAAGACGTTTTACATGGATAAAATCACGTACCTCTCTTTGCTTTATTAGGGCATTAAGACCTCTAATATTCCAGGAAGCAAACTTTATCATTGGACACAAGTAATGGTTGCAGCACCCTCTCCCATACTCTCTTCAATCGCCCCATTGTTATCATCAGTGAAAAGACCCCCATCATCACTCCTAGCCGTATCAATTATCTCCATATCATCATCTTCACTAGATTCTTCAGTAGATAAAGACGAAAATCGGTTATTTGTAGACGTTTGGACCGTAACACCACGTCTCGGTTTAAATGCTTGTACCACAACCTTTACTAGTTCCGGACCCCCGTAGATCTTACCGTTTCATTCAAACTACCCTCTCTACCTCTTGGCGTTCTCCCAGCATCCACAGTGCAATACTTCCCCCCTACAAGATCATCATTTGCACCAGCTGGGTCTTCAAATACAACAAACTTACCTTTTGGACTAACAACAACATTTTCCTTTGGGTCCACATCCGGAGGTATCGCCTCTTGTGCTGGCTTTATAACACCAACACCAAATAACGTATCCGAAGCCACATAATCTCTATCTTTGCTAGCCTTAGAGGGTTCCACCTAAATTCCATTAGTAACACCAGAAGTAGATTTCGGCCTCCAGTGTTGCCTTCTAGATTTTTGAAATCCCTCCTTTTCCATCGCATTTGGCTGCTCTTTTGGTTTCCGAACAACCCCTTTCATGCATGAAGAATCCCTATGTCCAAATATTTTACACATGGAACATTGGGACGGCACCCAATCATACTCCAATACCACCTTTACCATATCTTCTCCATTACCCGAAAGCCTCGGTATTACCACTTCGACTTCCTGCTGCAACTCTCCCACGGCCTAAACATTCACCAAAACCTTTGCAAAATTCGTTCTCCCCAAGCTTTATCACATGTGCTTGTCGTACATGCATCCAATCGTAATGGAACCCCAATCCCACTAGCAATACGACTAATTCCCTCTCTATTAAAAGCAACGAGAGGGATATTAAAAAAATTTAATCCACAAAGGGCACAATGAGTGTTCAGGTTTATAAAGCCCTTTTGACGGGTCCCATGCAGAAACAAACAGTGGCACCCCTCTTATCATCAGAGGCGACGATTCAACAACTTGGGCACAACCACCTCCATCATTAAAACGAAAGAAGAAATAACCAAGATCATTCACCATAGCATCTTTAAAACCAAACTTTCCCCAAGCATTTTGAACCGCACGTAAAACAATAGGAAACAGAAATCTAGTTCCCAAAAAATAGCCGTAGAGAACCGTTTGGAAAGATTTTGCCATATCTGGAGTTGCTTCTAAAGGGAATTGAATCCATGGATTCACACTCTTTTCCACCGGGTAATAAGTCAACTCCGACGATGAAACACCGCCAACACTTTCAGCAAATGACTTACGATCTTGAGAAGAATTCCCACCCGAAACCGAAGGTGATAATCGCTCCCAAACCGAGACCCTTTTTTGATTCCTACATTGCATACATCAGCCCTCAAATTCCCCTCCTTTTCACCCTCATACAAGAATCCGCCTACATCACATTCTTGCTTCCTGTCATCAGCCTTAGATTTTATACCATCATCAGGCAAATCAGTGTCTTCAGCCCTACCATGCAAAACACGAGGGGACAACCCACCTAAGATCACATCYGYAAAATCTTGGAAAACCGGTTCTTCCAAGATCACATCCGCAAAATCAACCATCATTACCACAACACAGTAAAACCTAGCTCCCTTATTCCCAAGTCAAGAAGCCGTGGTGCTGAAACCCTCTTAGAATGYCCTTGATAAAATAKAYGAAGACCTCACAKGAGGGTGYTGAATATTCTATCAAGTAAAYTCTACAAAGGTAACGAAGACCGCGGAAACACTTGACACGAGAATAAGCAACCAGAATAAGAATCCAAACAAAAGACAGCAACAAAACARCAAGTCCCACARCAAAAYAGAACCAAACAYACCAGCTAAACCACGTACCAAGAGACAAAACAACTAACCACGAGAGTAGCAGCAAAATCACAAGGCACGGGGACYGGAGCAGTCACCAGCAGCACCAAATAGAATCTTAAACCGCAAGATCACAGGAGCAAACCTCAACCAGCAGCTGTCAACGGATTCTGACCACTCGAGAAAGACAGTCGAACCCTCAAAGTAGAGCAACAAAAAACAACCACCAATCAAGGAATCTAAAGAAAACTCAACCACCAACCAACCACATAAAATAACAGCCGCACAAACTTGACAAAGGCCCAAACCAGCAGCATAATGAAAGAGGCAGAAACCTACTATTTGAACTGTGAAACCAGCAGCTTCTCACCAGGCAGAACAGTAGACAAGGAGCAAACACAGCAGCGAACTGAAATGAAAACCAGAAACGCAGCAAAACAGCAGCACCTAAGCCGAGCAGTCAAAAGGCAGCAACAGCCTATGAAGATTGCTATAGAAAATCGACCAACAGCAGCAAAAACTATGAAATCCAACAAAACCACAGCCAATCACGAAGGGACCAGTAATAACCACAAAGGAAACCAGAACAACAGCCGGTAAAGCACCAGCAGCAAAGCTTCACATAAAATCACTATCCCTAATAAAGAAACCACCAACCAGAAACGATAACCCAAAACCAAAGGATAGCAATCCAAAACAACTCCTATCTAAAAAAAGGAAACCATCGCAATGCCAACCGGAAACAACACCAAACTGGAAACCCTAGAGGCAGAAGAAAAAAGGAAACCCTATATATGGATAATATTATAACTCTTATTATTACTAATTGGATCTAATAACTTTGAGTTATCATTTCTTTGTGACCTGATGAATTAAAGATATTATTTCTATTCAATAATAATTTAGATGTTATTCAGAAGGGAAAAATGGTTTGTCATATCAGGCAAGTATTGCCTTAAATCTTTTCTGTTAATATTTTTAAAGGAATGGTCTTTTAATTCAAGAAGTTTTGGTTACAATATTTGTTTCATATTGGGAACGTTGGATCTCTAATCAGAGATATTTTATAGAACTAAGGTTCTTGGGTGTACTCTAGTTTGCATGATATTGTGAATTGTATCATTTATTTGTACTGCCGAATATTTCTAAGCGGAATTACATTATTTTGGTGTTCATCACCCTGCATTTGCAAAGAAGGAATTTACTCACTAGACCCATCTTGTCTAACCCTCATTTTCTATTTTAAATTATGCAATGCAGGAATAGCGGGGTTCGGGAATATAAAAGGGAAAGGGAAAATGTGATTGTTTTCCTAATCTGTTGTCTGCTTTTGAAGATACATGTTACATTACATGTAATAGTACATGATTTGTTTTGGAAATTTGTATATGTAGATTTTGTACATATATTAATCTTTGTACTAGTAGGACCTTATGATGTAAACTATATTTCTATAAAATAAAATATGTGTTATATGCAAATGTGGTGTTTGGGGGTGTTACATATTTGATCATGCTAGTATATGGAAATTATGTGCATAATATAGATGCATGTAGGTGATTATGTGCATATATAGATACACACACATGCATGTTATGAAGTGCATGGTGTGTGTGTATTCATGTGGCCGACCTTTCCTGTTTAGGAAATGTATAAAAGGAGGGTTCAACCTCCATTTGCATTTTCTACTGCTATTTGTGAGAAGTGTTTGTGCGATTTAAGTTGACCGGATTCAAGATCAAGTATCTGATTTCAAAAGGTTTTTCAAGGTGAGTGATTTCTAAACCTTTTGCATAAAACTTGTTAATGGTTTTATTTGAATGTTGTTTATTTTGGAAAGAAATCAGTTATTTGTTTAAGGGTTTTATCCGGACAAAGGGTGACCGGATTATTCTTAAATCAAACAAGGGTTGGGCTATTAAGCCTTAAACTGAATAAGTGTTAAGCGGTTTAGTTTTAAATCGGTTAAGCACTGAGCGAGTTATGAATGATAAATGTGGTAAACATTTTGAACGGAGAAGTATGAATACGACCATGTGGTGACTGGATTGTTTTAAATCGGATAAGTCTTAAACGATGTATTGTCCGGACTTGTTATCCGAACGAAGATGTTAAAATTTAATCTAAGTGTTAAATCGGACAAGCCTTGGGCGATGAGTTGTCCGAATTTGGTAAACCGGCTAAGACTTGACCGGAGATGAAGTCCGGCCAAGCCTATGTTGATCGGATTTGTTCTATGCCTTGTGCTTGATTGATGAAAATTATTATTTTATCATAAAATGGAAATTTGATATAAATGATTTTGGATTAATAATAATTCCATTGGCTGCGGTCTATTTGGAATTGTTTTTGCGAAAAGTTTTGATGAAGAAATAAGGGTGGCATATCACGGAGAGGTGTACGATGGGATAAGGGTGGCATATCAAGGAGAGGTGTACGATGGGATAAGGGTGGCATATCAAGGAGAGGTGTACATTTGATATAAGGGTGACATTTGTATGTGTGTTGTATAATATAACTCTTTCCATTATATCCCTTAAGACTACCGTGGTCTGAAATCTTTATTTTTTGTGATTTACAGATTTAGGATCAAGGTTCTTATTGGAAATCATAGTCTGGATGTTATTGAGGAGAAAATAACATGTTTGGCTTGAACTTTATATAAACCTTGTTTGGTTAGAAAATGGTTTAAAA